AACCAATAATGACTGTGGATTGGAAAATCTATCACGCTTAGTCCAAACATTTTTGATCCAATAAAGCATCTCATTTTCCTTCATCCATCCTGTTGGATTTGCTCGAATAATAACTTCTGAAGGAAAATTTCCTCGTGGAATATTTTTGAGTTTAAAAATTATAAGTGGAGGAAGTTTTGTTTCATTTGCCAAACAGCTTAAAACTACTGTAAGTTAGTTTTTTCGTGTCCTGTTATACAAATACTAACTGATCATGCTCCCAATTCATCAATAGTAGTATTACTTAGTAAATCAAAGGATACTGGAGTTTCATTCATATTACCAATTAATGCTAAAGGATAATCATGTTGTATACATTGATACATAATAAATGCTAAAAATTCTTGTTGCTTTTCGATTAAATCATCAGGTAAACGTTATGCAATAGTAGTACGATAATGATTACTGAAATTATTTCTACTCATAAAACAATCTAACCATTTATTACTAAAAGCAAAAGACTCAATACCAAGACATATAACTCGCCATTATTGTTGTTGAGCAAATGCTTTGGCTTTTACTTGAACCATGCTTCGCGAAACTGCATATTAATTTTTTCTTTTTTCTTTTACTCAAGTAACTAAAGCAGTTTCTAAAGCAGGATATTTTGGAGATACACCTCTATTTAAACGTTTAAATCTGGTTGTGCTTTAAGTAACTGTGATTTCTTAGTTATCCAATCTCTAAGTTGTTTTGTTTGAATATTAAACTTGGCTGCTGTTTTATTTTTACTATGACCATTTTCGTGATACATAATGATTGCAATTTTTTCACGCGTATTCTATTGCCTTCGTTTTTTTTCTGTTACTGTTGAACGATTGCTTCTTTTATGTGCACGAGAACCCATTGTATAAAAGAAATGAAAAAAACAAAAGTTTATATTATAATAATAAAAAAAGAACAAAAAAAATTTGAAAAAAAAACGTGAAGTTGAACGTGAAGAAAAAAATTGATGCGAATGAATTTCACATCATTTTAATCTGATTTTAAATAATTATTACAATAAATTAAATTTATTAAATTTTTACATTTATTGATATTAAATGTAAAATTTCTTATTTTCATTAAAAATTTTAACGAAACCAGGAAAGCTCTTTGATTATTAATTTTATTATCATATAATAAAAGCTCTTTAATTATCTAATTTTATTATCACATGATTAATATCCCCCTTTTAATGTATCCTCTTTTTATAGTATCTCCCTCCTTATATAATACCTCCAGGATACTATTTAATCTAAGCCGGGTTTCTTGAATAATACTGGGGGTACTGTATGCGGTGCTATACGGTATATACTTTTTGATAATCAATCTGATTAACTAAAAATCATATATATTATTTATATTATTATATATATATTATTATAAGGTAGATGTTTTGAAATTGAATCTTCTTTTGAATATTTTTTTTTAAAAAAAAGCAGTTGATCAATTTTTTGAAGAAATATATCTATATCTAAAAGAATACTTCAATAACTGCTTTTTTAAATTAAACCTATTTCAAACAAATTTTGATCAAATTCAAAGTGAAAAAATTTAAAATTAAAGGAAATGTGTCTTTATGTAACAATGGATATTCATACACTTTGGAAAAATTAAAAAAGATATAGTTAAGGGTTTTATAAAATAATTTTAAAAAGAAAGATAGGCTTATTAGTATATTAGATAATATTAATTTATGTAGTAATAGTATTAGAAATTGGAAGCACTTTGAATTTTCAATTCTTTCAATTCCAATAATATTTCCACTTCCAATAAAAAGTTATAATGCCTATAGAAATATATAAATTTTAAATTAAATAAAATTGGAAGTACTTTGGATTTCCAATTCTTCCAATTTCAATAATACTTTCAATTTCAATAAAAAATAATTGGTATCTATCATTGGATTTATGAATAGATAGCAAAATTAATGATAATTTTGATAAATAATCCAGAGTAGCGAAAAGTGTAAATTACAAAAAAAGTTTTTTGCAAATCATATAGCCTTATGGCAAATTTATTTTTGATTTTAATTACGTGAAAATTATAAACATTTTAACTAATAGTGATTATTTTTTGCTTTGAGTACTTCAGATAAAACTTGTTTCATTGCGTGCAATGATGGCTGATTCGTAGCAGTAAGAATTATTTTATTTAGCAAATCAATGATGTTATTGAAAAATTGTGAGGTTGGTCGACAGTGCAAAAAATTATAATCTACAAGTGAATCAACTTAATCAGAATCGATCATTTCAATCAAATCATCTTCTAAAATAAATCCTTAATCTTCAGCTTTTACTATTGCATCCATAGTAACGATCAAATTGTGATCTTTCTAGAATGATGGAGTAGGCTTATTTATTGAGGGAGAATAAAAGTATTGCATACTTTTATTTTTTCAATAATTTTTATTTTTTACAGAAATATACAATTTTTTTATTTTTCGAAAACTGACATTAATATTTAGTATGTTCTCCATTGGCATCAATCACAGCCTAAATTCTATTTGACATTGATTGCATCAAGTTTTGATACTCTTTTTGCGATATTGCATCTCACGCTTCTTTTACCACCTTTTTAAGCTTAGGAATGCTTGAAAGTTGAGGATTGCATTTTTGAATTTCTACCTCAACTATAGACCACATATTCTCAATTGGGTTAAGATTAGAACTTTGAGTAGGCCATAGAAGTAAATTTACCTTTTGAAAAAGTAAAAACTCTCATATAACCTTTGAAATGTGAACTGAGATATTGTCTTTCTGAAAAATAAATTTTTTTTTTGTTTTTTGGGAAAATTTCTTGAGCATTGGAACTGCATAAGTGGCAAGAACACCTTTGTAAACTTTTCCAGTAATTGAACCTTTAAGTAATATAATAGGTCCCAACTTTAAAAAGAAAAAACATGTCTAAAATATCCTTTAAGGAGAATATTTTACAGTCGATGCAATACAATCTTCATGAAATTCCTCTCCTGGTTCTCGCCACACTCGTCTCCATTCAGATTTGTGAAATTGAGAAAAAGTGGACTTGTCTGTTCAGACTATTTTTTTCCAGTCTTTAATGGTCCAAATCTTTTCATTGCCTATGCAAGCCTTTTAGTCTTATTAATTGCTGAAATTAAAGGTTTCTTTCGAGGAATACAAGACACATTTTCCTCATGAAGTGCATGGCAAATAGTTCTTTTAGAGATTGGTTTATTGTTTTTAGCAGAAATTATTTTAGTAATATCTGCTAAATTTTTCTGTCTCAATTCTTTGCTTTTGAGAACTTCAGCCTTTAATCTTTGCTTTCCTTAATTATCGATTAAGCATGGTTAACCTGATCGTTTTTTGAAAGGTTCTCCTGATTTATAAGCTGCAAGATATCTTGAAACAGTTATTTGATGATATCCTACAGCTTTTGCAATCTCTGAATTTATGTGACCTAATTTATTGGCTGTTATTATGCCTCCCTTTTGCATAAGAGTTAATTCTTTAGCGAGGCCTATCACGTGTTTATGCGTAAAGGTGAAAATTTTGGTTTTTTTAAAAAGTGAATTTATTAATTACTACACATCTAATCAAAACAATAAACAAATATCTCTTTAAAGCAACTTCTAACCTATTTGGTATAAAAATCACATGACTAGTAACTTATAAAAAATTTATTTAAATTTTTATTTTTAAGCTGTGCAATATTTTTGTCCTCCCCCCAGTAAATACCTTAATTTATCAGAATATAAACCACGTTTTAAATTATGATATTCTGATTCATAAACTGAAAATCGGCTATCTATAAAACAATTTGAACATTAGATTTTTAAAGTTAACAACGAAAAATGCTTATCTTAAAAAAAAAATAAACCTGATATGTACCTTCAAGTTTTCCTTCGCAATTTTTGTACTCTTTAACATACTTATCAATAATCAGCATGCTTGTACCCATTATTCTGCGAATGCGATCAAATTTGCCTTCGAGTTCTTTGCATTCTTTTTTAAATAACAAATACCACTATGTGAATCCTCTGTACATATAAATAGATGAGTTCAGTAAAGGCATACCATATTGAGGGAGAATATGCTTTTTAAAATATTTTTTGGCTTCTTCCCTACTCAAATCTCTGACAAAATACGGAGTTACATGTGGGCTTCGCAAAATTAAGCAATAAATGCGGATTAGAGAATTATGTCTTTACATTATGATCAATATTATTATAAGATAAACTTACGATTTACGATCCAGTTAAAAAAGAATAAATCGGAAGAGCACAGCGTGAAAACACTTTGCTTGTTTCATATTCGCCACAAGTCAGTTAAGAAATGATTTAAGAAAAATTGCCCCTTCCTTCGAATTGTCACCAAGTTGGCTAAGCAAGTTTGCTTCATCAATGATCAAAATGGGTGGAGATACATTGTAACCTTTCCAAAAGCTCCAATTTGGAAGAGCATTAGCAATTTTACCAAGTAACTCACTGACAGCATTAGAAGTAATTTCTTCCTTTTCTTTCTCATCAAATAGCTTAAATTTTAAATCAAAAAAATAAGAAAGCTTGGCCCTGATCTCCGTTTCTGGCAATGTTTTTTTCAGGAATGTCTTTCGTTCATCGAAGAATGATTTGAATTGCATGGAAATCGAATTATATACGGTTGTTGGAGTGTCAAATTATCCTATACAGCAGTCAATAAAAAGAGGTTTGAAATTGCCTTTACTTGTTATCTCACGAACTAAGGCCGTTTTCCCAGTACTAGGAGGTCCTAAAATAACATGAAGTTCCAGAGTAGCACTGAATGCATTTGTGAACTTGATAAGTTCTCGTTTCCGATTGAAAAATATCTCATTAATTTTTGTATTATAATGAAAACGAACATGAAGATGGATCTGTGCGACAGAAAAAATTTCTCACATAGATTTGGTTAATTAACATTATAGATTTTTTTGTATCACTACACAATTTTAAATATATCTGAAAATTTTTAAAAAAGTTTCCTTTTGTTTTGATTGGTCAACTATCCTTAGGTTAATTAACAGTTAATTAACCAGATTAACGTCCATCCCTACACGAGAAGAAAACTGACCCTACATTTTTTCTATTCGGGTCTTTAGACAGTAATACGGTCAAATTGATCTGCACAATTTTTGACCGCGAATTTAATATAGAGTATTCTTAATCCTAATTGATTAAGTAATCTATATGCTACGATTGCGAATAGATATTAGATTCGGAATTATGTATTTCTTATTTTGTGGTGGTGGTGGCTTGTGATTTTATTTAAATGTTAACCAAAAAGTAAAAATTTATTTCATGATGAATGGTCGGATTGGCTTGGATGGCTTATCACTTTTTAGATTTTTTTTGCGCCGAATAATTTATGCCTAAAAAGCAATCAATCAATCCAATTATAAGCCTGTTAAAGCCATTTTTTTTTACAGGAATAATACTTAAACCTTCTAAGAAATTTTCTGTTTAAAAATAAAAAAGTCGATAAAAAGTGGGGAAAATTGAGATGAAAAAGTATAAAAGATACTTAAAGGTTTTTTGTCTCTCTCACCTTTTTTAATATTTCTTAATTAATTTTTTTAAATTAAATAAAAACATCAAAATTTTTTCATTAAAGTACACTATGCTCACAAAACCATCAACAATTGCTTATATTCATGAATTAACAGAATAGCTTATGCAAGATTTTACTATAAAAGAAATTATGGTCATCTTAAGGTTATCCAATGATGACTCAACTAAAGTTATATATTTAAAGATTAAAGCTTTCATATCTTCTGACAGAGACATCAAAATGCAAATTGAAGAATTTTATACAAATAATATTATATTCTTGAGAGGGAAGTTTATCGCTTATATAGGGTGGTATTTGATATGTATATTGTGGATTTTTTCTTTCTTTTTATCAAATTTTTACACTGAATTTTCTTCTTCTTTATAAAGGTAAATGTTATATTGATTAAAGTCATCAAAAACATGGACTTTGATCTGATACCATCAGTAAAAATAACTGTGATACTAGTCAAATTATAACAAAAACTGTTAAAAATATCGATGGAAGATCCCACCTGGAATTCTATATTAAAAAAAATCTCAATGAGAGAGAATCACAAGAATTTTGAATTGATGTAACATATATTCAAATCTAAGGTACTTATCAAACAAGGTAAATTTTATAAATCAAATGATAAAGTTAACTACAGCTATGTTGATAGATTTAATCAGCTATGAACTGCTTAAATATGATTAAGCTATATAAGAGAAAATTATATTTGAAAAGTACATTATAAAATTTGAGAATATTTTGTTAATCACTACTTATAATAGGATTAATAATAGTCAAAATATAATTGTTTTATGGTTTTAAAAAAACAATTAAATAATAACAACTATGGCAGGACCAATCATTCTTGTGATGTAACCTTAAAACAAAAAGAGGATAGATGATAGCCCTATTACAAATGGAATTGATTAGAAGTTAATTATCTTTAGCTTTAAAAATAAATCCTATTTCTATTGATATGAATGCCACTAATCAGAAAATAACTATTACCAATACTAATATAAATATTACTAATGAATAAGATTAAAATAATTTGAAAAAAAATGGTTTTCAAACTTATTTTTTAATTTTCAGTTTTTTTTGTATATAAAATATAATTTATATTAGAAAAAACTAATTCTAACTCTAGATTATTATAAGTAAAATTTTAACCTTTGGTTATTATATATTTTCTTATCACTTGCATTTACGTTATCAATTTTAGGATATTAACATTTAATCATTAAAAGTGAATTTAAATTTACCTAACCTGTTATAACGTTATTTTATAAGTTTTATCATTAGATAAATCACAAAACTTTTTTTTTTTTTTTCTATTATCATTGATTTATTATTTATAATATGAATTCTAAATTTACTTAATATTTTAACGATTATATATTTTCTTTAAATCCTGTTGCATTTTTAAAAGAAATAGTTCAGATAATCTCAATAAAATTCATAATTTTATAAAAAGTGAAAAGGATGATTTATCTTTTCAAAAAGGTTAAACATTTGAATCATTTGAAGAAATTAATAATTTTTTAACATATATTATGAATAAAAAGAGCTTGAATACTAAAAAAGAAAAGTTGAATTTAATGATAATAATATAGGTTAATTGCTAGGAATATCAGATTATAAGAATTTTTAGTAAAATTAAGATTTTATTGTATTTTATATTATTACTATCATTTCTTTATACTTTCACCATCATTTCACTTATAATTTTACCATTATTTCACCATCTTTCACCAATAATTTTGCTAACTTTACTATTATTTCACTATTATTTTACCACCTTTTTATCATTATTCACCTATAATTTTACCATGATTTCACTATCATTCCATCTCTATTTTACTATCACTTTATCTTGAATTCAGATAACACATATTATTATATATTGTAATAAATAGTTTGTTTATTAATGATTATAAAAATTTTTTTATTATTTTTTTTACAAAATTTTATTTATATAAATAATTTATGTAATGTATAAAATCACATGATGTGGTGATATTACTTTATTTATTAATTTTTAATTATTATATCATATTAATAATACTATTTTTAATAGTATCATGATTAAAATAATTAAAAATATTTTGTATTACTCCTATTAAAGTTAATGAACTATCACCAATTATTAATCCATTTGATTTAATATAATATATAATATTTTGAGAACAATAATGAGTAATAATGTATAACCTTTCACAGTTTAACTTGTAAAAATATTGAGATGGATTGGTAAATATACTTACAATAAAATATAGGATAAATCTTTAATTTAAGTAATAGTATTTTAGTTATAACAATGATTACCATAATCTTTATAATACATTGCAATTACTTTGGCAATACAAATTTTTGTTTCATATAGCACAATTACATAATCATCTTATTGTAATAGAAAATTTTGAGTAATATTTGCTGATTCAATATATATAACTGCAATAAATAATAAATTATTAATAAATTATATAAATTATATATTTATAATATATTAAATTTATATTACTTTCACTTGTAACTTTATCAGTTCATCTTTACTTTAATAATTTATATTGTTGTAAATTAGCAAGATTAGCTGTTATTGTTTTCTAACTATTCTTTTATCATTTTTCAAGTTATTTTATAAATTGTATTTCAGGATTATCATTATTTGTAAAATATGAAATTATATAACTAGTTTTATTTGGATTAATAGTATTTATTTTTTCATGACTGATCATATGTGTATGATTTTTTCTCTTAACTGGTCTTGAATTATATGCTTTATAATGACTTTGCAATGCAATTATAGTTAAATAATCTAGTTCTTCTATTAAAAGAAGATATCTAATAGAAAAATCTTTTTTTAAATTGTCAATTTTGTTAATATTTAATAATAATATATTGTTAAAAATCTTAAAATATAATAATCATACCATGAGTAGGTCGCTTATATGTATTATGAAAATTTCTTGTAGTATTATTTAAAGTTGAAATAGTTTGTATTTGAATATTAATATTTTCATTCTCAATGTTTGAAAAATTAAAAATATTATCAATTGTGTTAGTAGTATGCTTGAAGGCTTGATGAATTACATCAGAAATTTCTCTATTAATTTCAAAAAATTTGTCTGAATTATTTTCAAGTTCTGAATTTAACTTGACTTTAGTTGATACTTTTAAATTTGGCTCCTCTATTATTATAAATGGCTGTAATAATAATTGATTTGCATTTGAAGTAGAATTCATATCAAGTGTTTTGGTAAAATCCAATGCTAATTTGTGTGAATATTTAATTGTTAAAGTAATATCAGTATCTAATGACCAATTACATAATATCATTAATTTTGTTGAATTATATTATAATTGAAATGATATCCTATTTAAAAAAATTAAAATTAGATAAAAAATTCAATATAAAATATATTTATAATTATAATTGTCTGCTTACCTTCATGCACAGATTTTTCTTTTTCTAATATAATATTTTTTATTCTTAATATTTTGATATATTTATAAATTTTTAAAATTAGTTGTAATAATTCTGAATAATTAAAATCTGAATTAATTTAACGTGTTATACTAAAAAAATGTTTACAAGCTTCTAATCCGTGCATCTATAACAAAATGTATAATTTGAATAATATTTCTAATGTACTTTTACTAATAAAAATATAGACTCTGTAAAAGAAATAAAAATTGCATAGCTTTGATCTGCTAAAAAATTCTTGCTTATAAAAATAAAGTTAGGATACTTTTCGCTTATATTTATTATATATTCTTTCCAAATTTGTAAAAAGAAAAAAGATGTCATTGACATTTTAATTCTTTTTAATGGAGTTATTTCACAATTTAAATAGTTATCAATAAGTTCACCTAAATTAAAAAATATATTAAATAATGAAAAAGTTTATCATTTATAATCAAAATTGGTTTTTTATCTTACCTATAATGAAAAGATATACAAAAAGTCCTTGTAAATCTTTAATATTATGATAATTTTGTAGATTTGTTGAAAAAAATACATGATATGCTGCACTATTATATTAACGATCAAGTTTTACTATATCATGATAATACATTATAGAA